ACTTATACTCCCGGTCTTAAGTTGCTAGAACACCTGACTGGTTGATACCATAAAGATACATTTTATTAAAAAGCAATGCAAAATAAATTAAAATAACGTACCTAAATCTATATGAAAAAAATCTGATTGACTTTTTGCCTTTTTTATATAATCACTTATCTGATTTGATTTTGTTCTATCTCAGTGCAATAAATAGTGTGCGTCAAGCGTTTGTTTCAGTTTTAATGCCTAATTCAAAAGGCTACTTTAGTCACCTTAGAAATTAGTTTTGTCCTTGTAGCGAATATGACCCAACTTATCCCCAACAATTTTTATGAAGTTAGGTAAGCTATCTCAACGAAATGGACTAAGCAGAAGTATGGCGTGGAAGACTTTAATTTGGGATGGATGTCGGTAACACAGAACTTACTCATTAGATGACAATTGAGGGTTTGTTGGGCAATGCAGCGGCCACTCATTGGTAGCCCTCTAAGCACTCACACCGCACTTGTTCCCCACGCGGCAAATAGGACGGCCGCACCTTTGAGGAACAATTTATTTATTTATATCAAATGGCAGGCGTTTTGATGGTTATCATTAGCCTTTTAGTTGACTTCAGGCTTCACAGATGGGAAGGAAAATCGAAGTGAAAAAATACCAAAAGGGTGGGGACAGAAAAGTGTTTCAAAGATGTAAAAGAGACAGACACAAAGGCAGAGAAAAGGTTAAGGTTAGTACTGTGGAAGTTCTGGAATACGACATACAGTGGGGTGATGGTAATTTGAAGTGAGAAGTCAACTGCGTCAATGGGGTGATGGTAATTTGAAGTGAGAAGTCAACTGCCATTTTATAAACTTTTTTTGCCGTATGAGGGGTATACGTTGCCCAGGATGCACCACGGGGAGGTAAGTCTGAAAAGTTTGCTATTAACAGTGGGTCAAACGATTAACCTGAATAGGGCATCCTAATTTATTATTCATTAATACACTGATATAGGATTATTTTATAGAAGGTAAGTAGAAAAAATGATATTTCTATTAATGGCAAAAGAAAAGCGAGCATGGAGTCCGATATCCAAAATAACAAAAAGTTGAAAATTCCGAAAAAACACTGTTCATCTTCAACGGAATTTTTCGCAATACTTGGCAATATATTTTAAATCAAATAAAATACCAATTCTAGTTATTGTTTTTCTAATATTCTACTTTGACATTAATTGAGATTTTCTTAGTAAGCGAATGGACATATCAGTCAACAGCACGAGCCTGTTTCATGGTTGGAACGTCCGAAGGTTCTGAGAGATGATTCGTTTTGGTTAACAAAATGTCAACAGAAGCCACATAACAAGTAAATGTTGGAATAGATAATTAAAAAGGTCAATTTTAAATAGTTTTAAGGTCAACTTCTTTCCACTAATTGTGTCTTGATAGTATACTCAATCACTACATCTTTGTGGTATTTTCAAATTCGCTGCTACTTTGTCCTTTCCTCTTCCCTCCAATTGGAATTGATGGTATTTTCTTTTAAATTACTGAAGGAAGGCTTGGTTTGTTAGTTTATTTAGGTTAATTTAAAATGGACATGAAATATAATCTTTTATCCAAGTAGATTTGGTAATAACTTCATTTGCCACTATTTAACAAATTGGAGCACTATGAGAAACCTTAATAATTAAATGCGGGAAATGTTTAAGGTGGTTTCATTATATATCATTTCATATGTAAAGAGGCTTACTAATTGTTGCTTGTAAGTGAATGCTTCGTTCAAATCTTTGATTAGAAAATGCATGGGTATTCGAGAGGAGGTATTTCCACATTTGGAGGCGGTGGAGGGGAAACAGACCGCTATGCAGCGAATCAGTATACTTCACAAACCTTTCAAGTAGGCTCTACCAGCCCGTCTCGAGTGAATCTAGGACCACATTCGAGAGTCATCAATCACGAATCTTCCTATTCTACTGCCAAGCCCACCTCACCTGTAGCCAGATCTGACCGATATTTTCCACGCTCTTCCATCAAACAGGTAAGCACTGTGTTTTTTTATAAAGAAACTGCCTTATCAAGTGGAGTTATCTATTACTTAAATATATATCAGTAGACCGTATTTCGATGCTCCATAGCATTTAAAAGGCTTTACTAGGCGAAATAATTCTTCCTGATTACCAAAGCTTGAGATACCTGGGTATTACACAACATCAAGGTAATATGGAAGTAGTCATCGCTTCAGGAGCACTTATAATACCATCACTTGCCCAAAGGTTTTGAAACTCATTACAGATGTAATGTTCATATCGAGCAAATTCTGAGGCTCAATAAGGAGAAAAATATTTCTAATGGTGAGGTGGTATTTACAAGGAAATGTAAATCCCCTTCGATTGCGATTGGATGAAGGGTCAATATCTCAAACGAAGTCACAAAAATTAATTTACCAGATCGAATCGGGCGGCGACAAATGATTGACTACCTGGTTAATCAATAATTATGTTTACGGCACCCCACAGGTTGTCTTGTGCATCCAGGTGTGAGCGTGGGTGTTCCATTAATCAGAAAGCCAGCGCCTGTAAGATTAATATTTGCATTGTTTTCCACCACATCCCAGCAGTCCGAATGAACCAGGCGAATTACGCCTTTTTAAATTATTTGCCACTGAACAAGCCCGCTGTCAAAAGATCAGTTGCAAGGTTGTCAGGAGATTGGGGGAGAGAGGAATATGTAACGCCTGCAAGTTGACACGGGGGAGCCTATTGCACCTTTGATTATTGCTTCCTCAGCAGTAACACAGTTATTGAAGCTACAAACCGCCTTGCAGTGCATGTAAACACTAAGATTGCACTAATAGGACTATTTTTAGGTGACTTTATCCCTAATAGAACTAATCACTTTGGTCTCAAGGGGCGCACATTGACAGAAAGCAGAATTTGGTCACCCCGTCTGCCGTATTGGTAAAAAAATCCTATAGATAAATATGGCTATTCAGAAGGTGCTGGCGCTATGTAACGCTAGTGCCATAGAGCTCTCGGAATATATGAAATTTTCCTATTTAATCGAATGAGCTATTGCAAAGGAACAGGAGGTACAGTAACAAATGATTATTTTTTATTGGACATTTAATTATCAACTCTGAAAGTTTATTGGTACTTTGGAAAGTTGTGAATTCTCTTCATTTGCCTAACTTATCAGTTCCATCCTTCCAGATGCGAACAGGTATTTGAAATGGAAATTAATATTGATGCTCAAAATCTTAGGCATATATATATATGACTAATATTCTCAGATGTAGTATCCAAAGTTCTTACATGATCTAAAACTCTAATGAAAACTGTGGAATTGGATAGGTATCAAAAAGGAAAGAGTATTCTACTGTTGAGGGCTTAAAAGGGGTTTGTGATATAAGGAAATATATAAATAAATCTTTTTTCGCTCTATACTGTGGTAATGCCAATGCATTCAGCACTATATTTGTAAGTGGGGCAATTTGGCCTTTATTTTTGTGATGTAGGTTCGATGTGGCAACCGAGGTTCCTCAAGTATGGAAGGCAGTTGGCATTCACGAAGTTCCTCGGAGCACAGCTACCTCAATCAAAATTTCCGTCCACAGGTGGGATTTGATGAATCTCCCACTGTCTTTGCCTTCTCTCCCACCACCATGAGTCTCCATCAGCAGGAAGAAGCTTTCAGCGCTGCACTCACTCCAACTGGCCAGCAACAGCCGCAGCAATTGCAGACAAACGGCTACTTCAATGGAACTCTGAGGCAAAGGTCTGGTCTGATCTTTTAATTAAACGCGTAATCAGTTGAAAATAAGTTAATCTCAGCTGTGCTAGGGCCCAGTACTTTGAGGTAGAAATATTGCCGTGATGTCTTCGCCTCAAGCGAAATAGGGAGAATAGGATCGAGGCACGCAAGTACTGTGAATTCAGCTGTAGGTTCTGTGATTACGCATTCTAACATTAGCGCCTCACACTTCCTTCTTTAACTATCAGATATTAGCACTTGATACTCCAATTAAACTGAATTAATGCCACATGCACTGAAGTTATCATGCTGACAGCCGTGTGTTAACCAATGAAAATAACTACATTCATTATAATATTTTTTTATTTGTTTCAGAACCTCTCGGCCCAATGCTCTGAATTCTTCACCCCCGCTTTCTAGAGCAGCGGACAATATGGTGAGTTTGTGGATGACATGTCACCTGACTTAAACAAAAATAGGCCCAAGTGGCACACAAACTCTCGTGCAGTTTATTTTTAAGTTGGCATTAAGGCGAGTTGTACATGGCTGTAATGAAGTGGGTGAATTTGGCTCAAAATTGGGCTATTTGAAAAGACTGAACAGTTGCCTTCCATTATTTAATTATTTATATCAAATGGCAGGCGTTTTGATATTTAGCATTAGCCCTTTAGCTGACTTCGGGCCTTACGGGGAGGAGGAGGAGGAGGAACATCAAAGTGATAAAAAGTGAGGAAGGGTGGCAGAATAATGATCCACAGACGTAAAAGTGGCAGAGAGTAGGATAAGGTGAGTACTATGGAAGTAGTCAAATATGATATACAGTGGGGTGATGGTAGTTTAAAGTCTGAAGTCAACTGCCAGTTAATAGACTCTTTTGCCGTATGATTATACGTTGCCCAGGGTGCACCACGTGGAGGTAAGTCTATCGCACACCCCCACCCTATCCATTATCAAACTTTCCGAAGTCATTCAGGAGCGTCTTCTGTGTATATTTTAAGGCAGTATATTATTTACTCAAAGAATAAATTGTGAATTCTTTCGTGTAAAAAATGCGAACTTAATTTTTTTTAAATATGAAATTTTAATCTTTCACGTAAGTGAGTCAAAAAAAATTCTCAGAAAAATTTCATTGTTGTCTATGCATTTTTGTAAACTCTCTTTCCACTTGCGAATTCCCTCACGAAGGAATTTTGAGAACTGTCCCCGGTAGCATAAAATTAAATCTTTTTTCGCATCATCTAAAAACTTAAATCGAGTATCTTTATGGTATTCTTTCAGTTGTGGACACAAAGAGGTCTGAGGTAAATAGGTCTAGAACACAAGGGGGAGGGTGTGGAGGTGTTTCTCCCCAAAATGCGCACAACTGTGATCTGACAACTCTTGAATATTGTGCGCATGATAAAACAAAGTTTGACTATGTTTTCGACGAGGGATATCTACTTCGACTTCTTGGAAACGCCTTCATAATAATTTTGAGGAGATCATTTTCTGTTTTTCTAGAAGGTTTGTCAATACGTGTCAGTCCTTTTGAATCCCAAAGAATAGCACCAATGACCTCAATTTCCTCAAACCTTTTTCCACTGGCTTCTCTAAAAGATTTCTTGATGTCTTGCTACGTCGGGTTCCCCATCTTCTGAGTTGTCGTCAAGTTGCATTTCAACCTCTTTTCAAGATTTTACTTCTATCATAAATGATTGCCCACAGTGCACCACAAACTCTCAAAAGTTTACATTTGAAGGGTCGAAATCACTAGCTATTTTGAGATGCAGGCTACCCTGATCCTGACCTTGAATAGAATGATCGGTAGTTGTGTGCTATCATGGAAGCTTTAGAGATATGTTTAAACTTGCTGAAACTTGCAAATCTTCGTTCTTTTTGAAGCTATAGCATTTTTCTCAGAATTTGAGTTATTTACAAAGGAACTTAACTGATACCATTTCAATTTAATATAATAATATCATATATTTATATCAAATGGCAGACGTTTTGGTAGTTATCATTAGCCCTGGAGCTGACTTCAGGGCTTCACAGAGAGGAGAAGGAACATCAAAGTGGCAAAAAGTCGAGAGGGGGAACAGAAGAGTGATTCATAGATGTAAAAGAGACAGACAGACAGACACAAAGGCATAAAATAGGTAAGATGAGTACTGTGAAAGGGGTCGAATATGACAAATAGTCGGACCATAGTAGTTTGAAGTCAGAATTCAACTGCCGATCAATAGCCCTTTTGCCGTATAAGTATACGTTGCCCAGGGTGCACCACGTGGAGGTAAGCCTATTGCGCACCCCAATAATATAATATAAAATATTGTGAGAAAGAACCAATCATTAGTTTCATGACAAAATTTAGCTTTTAAAAGCATCATATATATATATATATACATATATCGATTTTGAAGTACACACAACTTTCGGATATGGCGAAACTGCAGTCCAAGAAGATGCCCCAAAATACGGCGACATTCCCTCGACGGGGAGCCAACTTTTTAAACAGGTCAAATGAAGGCGTCATGCAGAGAATGCACGTCAACGGGGTGGAGCAGAACCCATTCGCCAGCGACGCGGAGACCATCAAACAACGACTCCTCAAGGAATACCAGGATAATCGTTTAAAGATGGATATGAGCTACGAGAATTCCTCCATGTCGGACAGCTGTCATTATTCAATTCCCTCGTATTATGACAAAATTGTGAGTTTCTAGAAATAAGGGGAGATTAAATTATGCATAGCTGTAGAATACGCCGTCAATAAGGCTAGGTTCTGTTGAAGTGGCCACGTATTGTAGGCAATAATGCCTGACTGAGGTTTGTGTGAATGAAGACTAATGTCAGTTTCTTTGCATCTGTCATTATTATCATTATCAAGTTATTTTATGCGCCTTTTTTGTGCAGAAATGTCAGTGTTCCCAAATAATCGTAAAACACGAATTCCACCTAAAAATACGAGAGCCATTTTAGGGTATTTATTTATGCAAAATGGCAGGCGTTTTGATGGTTATCATTAGCCCTTTAGCTGACTTCAGGCTTCACAGAGGGGAAAGAACAAAAAATTGGAATAAGTCGAGAGGGGGGGGGGGAACAGAAGAGTGTTTCAACGACGTAAAAGAGACAGACACAAAGGTAGAAAAAATGTGAGGTGAGTACTGTGGAAGNTTTTTGCCGTATGAGTGTACGTTGCCCAGGGTGCACCACGTGGAGGTAAGTCTATCACGCACCCCAGCCACTTTAAAGTAAAACCTGATACAACGCTTTACTTCTCTAAAGCTCCAAGTTTTATTTAGACAATTTTCCGACATTTTAAATCTAATTTCAATTATTTTATAATATCTCGTATTTTTTGTCCTATTTAACAGTTCGCGTTGACGACTAATTGAAACTTGGTGGTTTGTGGAGCCATCTGACCAGATAAAAGGCTTTGATATATGGATTCTCAATGTTCAACCACATGAATAAACTCCTTTTGGGAGACGCGGTCCCGAATAGTGCTAATTTCGGCCTGTCATTAACATTTTAAAAATTGCCTTTAAATGTACTTTAGATGTGTCACCAGGTGAGGGGTATTTAGACGCTAGGGCGTAACTACTTGGTAATAGCCTCCATTCTGTCAACTTATTTTATGAGTTGAAAGGGGTTGTCTGCGCTCGACTTTTATCTCGTATGTTGCGATTGGTTGCGGTATTCGCATTTAATTTGTACATCAATTCATATAAAATGCGAATTTTAAGTCATTTAGTTTTCAGCAGTTTCGTCTCCTTCATGCCGTTAATAGCACTAAGACAAATTGGCTACCAAAGTATTTCCCACCTCTGATACCTCGTAGAATGAACGTCGCTTTGTGGATGAGTAAAAGATATCTTAAATCTTTCAACATTGCTGAATATGAACCAGTCTATTAAAAGCATTCGAATATTTCTTGTAGATTCGGATGGCCATGATTTTAACTTTCTCGATGTTTCAAAAATTACAGAGAATATTGATCGATCTAAATAGCGAAAGTTTCTTGAGAATCCGTAAAAAGGCACTATATTTAAGATGATATATTCTAAGTATGAAAAATATTTAGTATTGACGAATGTGAGAAGGTAGAGAAAAGTTCTATTTCTATTATTCAAATGAATTTAACAAAAATGTTCCTTAACTGAAATTTCTAGACCAAATTTCAGGCTGGAAGGACGTCAGATAGTGGCACCCTTCAAAGAAGTCAAGAGCTGCCTTACTTCGAGAAAAAACGACGTCAAAGCGGAACAGTCATCATTCCCTCACGTTCAGTCGACAACTGCATGACAAGATCAGAATACAGTGAACGGGTAATTAAATTGTTGATAGAATTAAAATGAAACAAGCTTTTTTTGAAAATCCAAACTCATAAAAATGTAATTCTGTGCGCTAACTTCCCTTTCAAAGTCGCAAGTTATCCAGTGAATGAAATGCCCAACCACAGTAGGTAAGACTGACTACTAAAAGAATTATTTTGATTATTCCTTCCAAAACGGGGTTGAAAACTGGTACTATAGAGCGGTTAAGATTTAAGCGCATATATATTAAATATTAAAAAAAGATAATTGTTAAAAAAACAGTTAAAGTGTTGGGAAACTCATTCACAAATATATTTTTTTTTCAAAGTGCTTGACTAATACAAAAAACTGAGTGTGTGCATTATTTCAAGCTTCACTAAACTCCAAGGAGATAAAAATTTACAGAATGAAAATTTGGCAGAATTTACCTCACCTTGTCACTTTTTAAGTCCCACATTTGCCCGCATTTTTTTGCAAAATTATAGTTAAATCAATTTCTCTCCGCTTGTTGGAGAATGCTGGTCAAGTCCTTCCAATACTTGCTGAACGTTCCACTTGCAAAATAAGTAAAATTTTCAAAAGTGGAGCGATTTCCTTTGACTAATTACTGGGATTTATGTCTTTCCCGTCAACTTCCAACTGAATTAATTTGCTCACATCGTAAATTTTCTTTTTTTTGCAAAATTTGCATTAAAAAGAATGATTTATATATATTGTTTCATCTCTAGAGAAATAAAATGCATTTCCGGCGCCTGTATGCAAATTTTTTTGTGGCAAATAATTGTAACATTGCTCTAAATATTTTGAAGATAGTACTTAATAAAATTCAGTAAAAGCTTAAAATTTGTTCAATTTCACACATGTTGCGAATAGGTTAAAATTCTCATAACTTTCTCACAGGCTCAAGTAAAACGGACTGATAATCAAAACACTATGGACATTTAATTCACATCTTTTTCTTTAATTTTCTAACTTGAGTTTTATTAACTTTCACAGGCATTAAAATTTGTCAGAGATTTGAAAAGTTCAATTATTAAGTTCTTTTAGACCCTGTAAGAATCGTTGTTGCATATTTTAAAATAGTGGCTCAATTTGTTTGGATATCACAGAAACATGATAATGATTCTTCAGTCCTTCTTCTAAGCTCTTTCTCAAACGAGAAATAACCGGTTATAGGTGATTCAATTACAAAGTTATGTATTTGTTATTGTTTTGCTCGATTAATTATATCGATTAATTTACCATTTAATACACGAGATGTAGTTGATCCGAAGAAATGAACAACTATTTAATCTATCAGTTTAGCGAAATCAAAATTTCAGTCAAATCAATACTTGTGAAGCATATGATACCCTGCTTTCGCAATTGTGTCTTTCTGCTGGGCTGTGTTAGAAGGGAAAGAGAAAGTAGTGGGATTGAAAGAGTTGAACGAAAAGCCCACAAGCTGAATCACCGACCCGCCAAATGGCCAGAATGTAGTGTGCAAACAACCAACAGAGCAAATTTTGGCCGACAATTAATTGCTTCCTCCCTTGCATGGGAGGTGGAGGGAGGGGGTGGGGGGTGGGGGGTGGACAGGAGAAACGCCTGACACACAAGAGCCTTAATATCAGCCCCTTCTGTCTGACACGCAAACGCCTCCCTCCAGTCCTAATGCCCCTACTGGCTCATCTTTGACAAGAAAAAGGCCACCCTTCAGCGGAAAATGATATTCACTTGCAAAACCCATCATGCAATATAACTCCAGTATTCACTTCAAGAATATATATATATATATATATATATTTATTTATTTATTTATTTATTTATTTTTTAGTGTGCATAATTTGTCAATTAGGATGGAATTCATGATTAATATTTATTAGCAATGATAATACATATTGAAGGCACCTTACATTTATAAAAATCTCGTTAGAATGTTTAATCATAGATAAAAATGCATTAATGTCAAGTTCTACGTTCCTCGGTTGGTAAATGTTTAGTGACCAGATTTGAGGATGAGAAGTCGAGTAGGGAAAACGCGTATTCGGAGAACTTCTGGTCATTGAGAATTTATTAAAAAAACATGCTATTTCCATTCAAACGCGTTTTTAAAGAGCTGAGTGCTGTAACCAACGTCAAAGTTTATGAAAACGTCCTGATATGTGACTTCTAGATCATCCTTAAATCGAATAAGATTTCAAGCAGCCAGAAATTGGTATTGAAAGTCACTTTTGATAATTGTTTCCGAGGATCCGTTATGCCAAAGATTCGCTTTACATTCCGCGTGCATTTGCATACAATTGTGATCTACCCACGTCACCATTTTTTCTGGGTGGAATTTCTTTAAGAGGGATTCAAGCTTTCATGGGAAGAAGTCGATGGTTTAATTACTTATATCAATTGCATTGCTAACAAAAGAAGGGCTTTCATGAAGCCTCGCTTGAGTTACTGTGGCCATGAATTTATATGAGTCGTTCTCTTAGTTATTTCGGAAGTGAAAAGACTATTTATAACACTTCAAGGTCGAATTCATCCCCTGTAAAGGTTGACTACCAAATTTCTCAAAGAGATTCGTGGAGCCGGCTCTTCTCTTTTCTAATGTGTTTACACACACAAGTTTTCCCTGGTAGAATAGGGATCATCAGTTATCAGAAAGTCAAACTAAGAATGACAATGGCATTTCGAGTGCCAGTGGAATCCATTTTAACTCAATTGGACAATCTTATTCCATTAAGCCTATCCGCGAAAACTTTTAAGTACTCTAAAATAATTGTTAGTTATATATAATTTTTCCGAAAATTGTAATTAAACATAATTAAAATCAAGATGTTTAACTTGAACAAAGCTGAAATTTTTAATTGTCATAAAAAAAGAGAGTCTGGAATTTTACAAATAAAAATTGTGCATAATTTAATGCCTCAATCAATGAAAATAATATGCTATAATGTTCAAGAAATTGTGCTTTTCAGATTAGCTTGCTTTGAAAGGCATCGTTTATCCAATCATGACTCAAATTTAACAAAAAATTATGAACGAGCGGGCATTCATTCCTTGTTTACTGTGCTTAATCCGTCGTGCAAAGTTTTTTAAATACTAAATTGTTGTTTAGTTTAAAATAAAGTCCGACTTTATTTTGCCAAAATCTAACTCTAGCGAGTTGAAGTTCATAAAAATTTCGTATTAAAATTGCGAAACAAAAAATTGGGGCACCTACTTTTCACATCAACAAGAAAATTGAAATGAATCTGAAGGCGAAGAAGAGGTGCCTCCATCGAAAAGGCGCATATAAAAAACCACCGAACTCTTCTTCTTATGAATGGGTGCAACGCACTGTTTCTCCTTTTTTTGTACCAAATGACACATCTGATCAATCTTCGCCCGATCGCAGTAAAAGGAGACGAATTGGAGTCTGAGGGGTGCATCTGCAACGCGCCGCTTTTCTTGATAGATAGCCCAGAATACGGAGCAAAAAATTGGAACGATTGAGGATAGTGAAAATCAATTCGAATAATTATTTCCAGGAAAATATGTTTTTTCAATCTTAATTAAGGTTAATTTTAATCGTTTAGAAACGAACCGTTCACTTATTTTTATAAGTCAAAATAATTGAGCTTCATTAAAAGTACTAGACTGTGAATTGTTAGTATAGAAAAATCAATTTCAGTTTTTTTTTCTTAAAAAATCAATATTCGTCAGTAATTTATTTTCACTTTTGCAGTGGTGACTTGATCACATATTTGATTCCAAAAATGCATTGCAAGTACAAAGATAATGTAACTCTCCGCTTTAAGTTGTCTAAGGGACTTGGCCAGTATATATGGCAAAATGTGATTTTAAAAAGTGACTCATATGTAAAAATTACTTTGAGACTAATTTAATTTAATCTTTCACTTTCTACATCATAATTTCTTCCTGCATTTCCTTTTCCCAACATTTGTCGCAAAATTGGAAAATTCGTTTGAAATAAATTCGCCTTCAGTACTGGACTAGAATAGCCAATGCGCAAAGTGTTCCAGGTATTTTTGTAGTTTGTTTGTTGGCTGAAATTTATTGCAATTATAATTCAATCTAAAATAAATAATAAATAAATAAAAGTGGCTAGAAACAAGCAATCTGGCATTCCTTTAAGTGAGCCATTATTCTCTTGTTTCGTGATAAAGCGAGAGAAACAGGTATAATCTGGGGTTCCAACTTACTTACCTGTCGATCAAGCCAATTATCCATTAGACCTCGATCGATTAAATGCATTGAAATTCGGTTTTACTTCAAAATTAGGCAAGAGAGCGACGAATTATCCGTTCGATCAATATTAAGAACCAAGTAAAAGTTAAGATTGTTTAACAGTAAATATTCCACCTACTTCTTCTTGGGTAAATATCATTCCCCATGTTTTTGGCTGTCGGACCATCTCCGAATCGTATTCGAGGTAAGATGAGTCTCCATTGAATCTATTTTTCCTTACGGATGATATGGTCGGTTTCCGAGGCTGGCGGTGTTTACAACAGCACACTCAGATTTCGACTTCACCATGAGGCGTCATTCGGTGCCTAAACTCTTATGAACCAGGAATTCTTTCCATGTCTCCTTGACAAGTGTCACATTTCAAACGGCTTGTTCAATCAGATTACTGACTGTAAAGCAATAACAACAAAAAACTCAGATCAGTGAGAAAAGGCCATAGTGACCTGTCTAGAGTCATAATTTTTTGCTTTCCTAGAATGACAAATGTTTAATTATTATTATTATATCAAATGGCAGGCGATTTGATGGTCATAATTAGCCTTTTAGTTGACTTCAGGCTTCACAGAGGGGAGGACCATCAAGGTGAAAAAGAGTCGAGAAGGCGGGGGGGGGGACAGAAGAGTGTTTCAAAGACGAAGATAGATAAGGTGGAAAAAAGGTGAAGTGAGTGCTGTGGAAGTAGTCGAACATGGCATACAGTGGCCTGATGGTAGTTTGAAGTCAGAAGTCAAATGCCGGTTAATAGACTTTTTTACTATATGAGTATACGTTGCTCAGGGTGCACCACTTGGAGGTAAGTCTATCACACACCCCGAATGACAAATGTTTGGTGGAGGATGTAGATGCCAGAATTAATTTTAAGGCTATTTTAATGCGAAATTTGAGATGGACCCGGTAGGAGGGATACCAAAAGGAGCGCATGAAATCCTGATAACGAGGCAGTGTGCCTTGTTAGGACTTCGTGCAACCGCTTTTGACACCGTTCCATTCATGCAAGAAACAGGTTTAGAAGGACCGATTTCCTCAGGCTACTTGTAGTTATCACACGCCGGTGTCGATCGCTTGTGGTAGAATATGGCTAAAGGTAAATAGGCCTTTCCATGAACTTAAAGATGATGCAAGATTTGGTTTGTCTGATAATCAAGTTAACAGGCTCTAAGTG